GCCATCTTCCCACTTTGAATGCTGCTGTCTGTTAAACTTGCTGCCTGCAGGGAGAAAGTAAAATTGAGAAAAGCCTTCCAGACAGGCAGCTGGGGAATCACAGCTGGGCTGCAGGTGAGGCAGAGAGCCGGCACGCTCTGTCTCCAGCAAGCCACTGCTGTCAGCACGGCTTTCATCAGTACTGCTTTCTGCTGGAAGCCAGCAAGCCAAAATATTGCATTATATTGCTTCTGGAAAAATATGATGTCAATCTTACAATGAAACTTGGAACAGAAAATTTTCAAAACCAACTTTCTTTGTTGAAATGAATTTTTGTGGAATTTCCTTTTTTTGTTGGTGATTGGTTGATTGGTTACTGTGTGAGGGCACCAAAATCAAGGATTATCATCCTATGTTAGTATCTGTAGTCTTTACCAGAGAGATCACAAGCTTGTCTACAAGCATATATAAGGAAGCAGTAAATATTTTTATACTGTTTCCTGTTTTAAATCCCCAGTCATTTTTGCAGCACATCAGCTGTATCATGTGAGCCATGAATAGGGTAAGAAAGCATGTTTTAATCTAATAAAGCAAATAGAAAAAAAGAGAAAGCACAACTTGTAACAACAAAATGTGGTTTTTGGTAACACTCATTCACATACCCTTGTTTTTTCCCCAGATTGACTTTCCTTTTAATCAGTAGGAGGCTTATATGCATGGTTTAGCTGATAAAGTAAATGGCATTTGTCAAAAAATTTACTAGTGACTTGCCAGCCACAAAACATCAAAGCAGAACTGTGGAAAACTCCTACATGATTCAGTTTCCAGATATATCACCTCAAATACACAGATTTCACAGTTTTGCATTAAGGATTGAATAACAGATGAATCTGGGCTATAACAGCAGCAGCTTCCATAGATGCACAGAGTACCAGAGAACTTCGAAGTCATTGGATTCTGCAGTACACATTTCCTTTACTTATTTGTTTTTAACATGGGTTTTGGTTTGGATTTGGTTTGCTTGGGGTTTTTTCTTTTGTTTGTTTGTTTGTTTGTTTTAATTCTTCTTTCTTTTCTTCACCTTGCTTTTAAACAGCCTTTCTGGTTGTCCAATTGCTGCAGCTGAAAAGTTGGCAATGTCGCAGGAAAAGAACCAGCTCGATTCTCCAAAAGCTGGGCAGTGCCATGATCAGACTCAGAGGTAGGACCCCTCACAAACTGGTCTCTCCAAAACATTTCTGTGCAAACTCTGTTGATCAGTGCTCAGCTCTTTCCCCCATTTCAGATTTTACCTACAGGGGTAATTTGGTTTTCCAGTATGAACCTCTTCAAGGCTAAATAACTGCACTGTCTCAAAATTAAAAAAAAATAGCTTACTGCTTGTCCTTGTGCGTGTGGTTGACATTAAAAACAACAGAACTCTCTTTTGAATAGCAATTAAATATATTCTACTAAATCTTACCTCAATACAAATAGCCTGATCAATGGCTCACAAGTGTCTTTTTCTTGTAAACAAAATCTCATATCTTGCTGAAATGGTTTAAATAGTTTTCAAGAACTGTTCCTTTGTTACAACATTTTGGCCACTGAAACTTGATTAAAGATCTTATTGATCTTATTACACTTTTAGTAGCTCAGTCCTCATTTGTTCTGTGATTCTTTTCAAAGGAAATTTCCAGTGATCCAGTAAGTAGCATGTTATCTGAAAGGGTTGAGAACTCTGCTCATTCTGTTTCCTCACCACTGAATAATTCATGCATTGAGTTTCTTTATTTTAAGTTTATTGGTTTAATTAGTTTAATTTATTTTTTATACAATGGCATCAAAAAGGGGAAAAAAAAATTATTGCAATTGTATTTTGCTTGAGAGTTATATGGACCCTACAGACATGCATAATTTGCACATCATTGGCACCACGACCATTACAACCTATTATATTCAGGTCTATTTGGGGACACTTTAATTTGTGGATTATTGACATGATCAGCTCTAATGGTTCCTTCAGAGCCATTACAGAATATTATGTCCATGTGTCTGCCAACTGCACGTGCCTTAACTCTACATATGAAAAGTCCTTAGGAAATTACTAAAGACAAGTAGTTACTGAACAGTAACTAAATGGAATAACACACCATAAATCATTTGTTCCTCCCAAATAACAGAAGCAATTATTTTGGATCATATTATATTCTATTTATACCACAATCATTCACAGTAACAGGAGAACAAGAGTTATCCATAAAACTAAAGTCCTTTGACTAGCAAAACCCTAATTTTTAGAAATAAAAGAATCACCATGCTACAGTGGTAATCTAGAAGTAAGTCAGTATCTTTTTGGGAATAGTTGGGGCAATCCCAAACACAAGTACAGGCTGGATGGAGAATGGACAGAGAGCAGCCCTTAGGAGAAGGACTGGGGAGTACTGGTGTATGAAAAGCTGAACAAGAGCCGTCAGTGTGCACTGGCAGCCCAGAAAGCCAATCGTATCCTGGGCTGTATCAGGAGAAGTGTGGACAGCAGGTCAAGGGAGGGGATTCTTCCCCTCTACTCTGCTCTCATGAGACCCCCATCTGGCGTACTGCCTTCATCTTTGGGGCCTTCAACATCGGAAGGATATTGACTGGTTGGAGCAAGTCCAGAGGAGGCCACAAAGATGCTCAGAGGGCTGGAGCACCTCTGCTATGGGGACAGGCTGAGAGAGTTGGGCTTGTTCAGCCTGGAGAAGAGAAGGCTCCGAGGAGACCTTATAGCACCTTCCAGTACCTGAAGGGGCTACAAGGAAGCTGGGGGGGGCTTTTTACAAGGGCCTGTAGTGACAGGACAAGGGGAAGTGAGTTTAAATTGAAAGTGGGGAGGTTTAGATTGGATATCAGGAAGAAGTTCTTCCTGGAGAGGGTGGTGAAGTACTGGAACAGGTTGCCCAGAGAAGTTGTGGATGCCCCATCCCTGGAATTGTTCAAGGCCCGGCTTGATGAGGCTTTGAGCAACCTGGTCTAGTGGAAGGTGTCCCTGCCCATGGCAGGGGGGTTGGAACTAGATGACCATTAAGGTCCCTTCCAACCCAAACCATTCTGATTGTATGATAATTCTGGGTTTTTTAATGTCCTCAGCATTGAACTTGTATGAAGTCAAAGTACATTTTGACTATTAGATCAGCCACCATATTTATGTTATTTATTTCTTGTATACACCTACCATTAAGTTTTGTATGTGATAAGAGCACACTTTCTGATACTGAAATGCAACTGTATCCTATTTCTCAAGATAAGGTTATTTAAAGATATTCTTGTCTTTCTCATTCATTGTTTTCCTTCTCTCTGCAGGACAAATTTAGCAAAGCAGCCTGAGGTATCTCAGTACAATTACAGAACTTCACAGCCAGTCACCTCCTCCAGAGCCAGTCTGGCAAAAGAACAGGAGAAGTTTGGGAAAGTACCATTTGATTATGCCAGCTTTGATGCACAAGTCTTTGGCAAACGCACAACAGCACCTGTGGCACAAGGACGAAAAACACCCCAGTTCCTTGAATGTAAGCTTGAAATTCCATTATCTTTTGGAAAATGGGAAAAATGTCAATGACTTTTTTTCTTTTTGCTTGTTCTGCTTTCAAACTTCTAGAATTCAAAAAATCTCTGTAGGAAGCATCTTTAGCTATTCGTGGCCAGAGTGCTAACTATAATCACTAGCTTGCTAAAGATAGAAGGCTAGAATGCTAAATATCATCACTATAAGGTTTACTTTTTTGATTTTTGTTTTAAAAGCAATTATCAGGACAAAAGAGAAGTAAAAATGAATGGTTTATGTCTTATCTGTGACCTTCTTCCTTGGCTAAACTGTGATATCTTTATGTGATAGGGTGCTGTCGTCCCATGGAATCTGTCTGCACAAGACATAAGTAATTGTAGTACAGAATAATCCAAATTAGGTTTTAAAAGGCATTTTGGATACCTTTTAGGTGTATCTATACAGGTATTATTCCTCCTAGATGACCATGTTCCTCATCTGCATTACTTCCAGGCCTGGATTGAATTTGCTTTCATAGAATCATATTTCTGTACTACATCATATTTGTAGTGCAGATGTATCCAATGCATAAAATTGTTATCAATATTCCTCTGCTTGCATCACTTACAGATTTGCTGAGTTACGGCTCTGTACGAATGAGATACTACAGTGCGAACACTATTGATTGCAGATGTTCTTCACAATCTGCATGGGAAACTTCAGCAAGATTTTCCCATTGTATTGAGCATTATGAAATACTGTAGTTCAAAAAAACCCAAACAATTCTGTTTCCATGAGGGAAATGGGAAAAAAGGGGGCTCATTGCACATATTCGGGTTCAGAAGAAAACAGATCCAAAACAATGTGACAAAAGACTCTTTAGTTAATTTTTCTTTGATTCATGACAAAAAATTTAGTAAAGGAAAATAAAAAATGAAAACAAATTGCACCTCACTTAGCCCCACAAAAGAGAACATTCATAGTAAGGTGAACAGAAAAGCCAAAAAATTGTATACAGATAACATAACATTTTATAGGTTTATGTATTTACAGAATATGTTTATTTATATATTTATTTGTCTGTGTGTCTGTGTACATGCACACGCATATATATATGTGTTTGTAGGTATCTATGTGTATGTGTGTATATATAAATACCTTATTTAAAATTGCAAATGAAAAGTAGATTTTTATCTGGCCTGGAAAATAGGCTTGTTGAAATGAAAGCAAATATGTGCATTGCCATCTTCTTGGGTGGCAGATTTTCCAGTTTTGTTTGTAAAATTGAATATTCCTTATTAGCTGTCTCTTTGCACAGATGTATGTCTATTTCCCAGGTTCATTTCAAAGAAAAAATGATTGAAATGTTTTTATACAAATGCAAATCCGTACATATGCAATTTATGTATATTGTATATCAGGACTGAAGTTTGCAGCCTGTTGTTCTTACAAAGATTGCAGTCTGCAGCTATTATTTAAATGGAAAGGTGAAAGTAAAAAAGCAGGTGAGTGCTTTATGCAGATGTACAAATTTGGCAATAAGAAGCTGATGATGTAGTGATTGGTTCAGCATCCTGTGTAAATATGTAGCTAACCAAAAGCCCATCGTTAGCCCTCTGTGCATTCTGCACTTATAAACTTGATTTGTTAATAAAATATACACCCTTCATAGCTTGCCTTTTTTTTTTTTTTTTTTTTAGTTTTAAGGGTGGGTAATAGAAAATGCACTTTTTTTGCCCTTTAAATGTAATTTGAAGTTAGCTGTAGTAACTGCTAAAAATGTAGACCCTCTTGCTTGTTCTACAGTTTCACAGCAGGGTAGATAAATCCTTTTTCATTTGCACTGGGGAAAGGGAGAATGGAATCATGAGGCTTTTATGTATTGTTCTACTGAGATGCTTCCAGTACTTAGAAAAACTGAATACGGCATTCAGCTACAGTCAGTGCACACAAACAAACATTTCTCTTAGAGCATCCCAAGTTTGAGGAAAGATGAGTTCTTCAATGTCTTTTCTTATCATTAAAATGCATTCAGCCAAAGCTCTACATCCAAAGGGATCCAGAGCCTTGGGGCTCAGATCTTTATGGAGAGAACAGATGGTCATATGCAGAAATGTTCTTGGTGTATCTGGGTGTAGGCTGAGAAATTGGATTTTACTTCATTTATCTTTGTATGACACTGTGAGAGCTGCAGACAAAAGAAGCGATTATTGCTTACTAAGAGCTGAGGTCATGGTGCTGTGTTTTCCCTGCAACAGTTAATGACATCTCAAGCTCCAAAATCCAGAACAGACAGCAGAGTTCTTTCTACCTATTTTAGTGTAAGTGCTGCTGATGGAGCAGAAAACAAAGAACCACACTAACCACTTCTGTCTGTGAAAGTGCTTTTCTGTTCACCTGTTAGTTTTCAACTCTCAACTGACCTCTTTGTTGCTAGTATATCACTGTATTATTCCAAATAGAATCATAGAAT